CCGAAATTCGAGTATACCTAAACATATATTGGTAATTTGACGCTAATCTCGGAACCGTTTTCAAAATAATTAAGAGATATGTAATTTTTGAATCATATCAAAAAGCATGGCCAATTTTTTTAATAGGCTACTTAACAGATAATTTGATATATAAAGACTACGTTAGAACATTACAAGAACATAAAAAGAAATAGTGGAAACTTTTGGTCATACGTAAATTCTAAAAGGAAAGATGGCGGAGTACCTGAATTTATGACTTATGATGATTTAAATCTTTCAAACATGCAGGATATTGTAAATGGATTTGCTACTTATTTTAAAAATTCCTACAGTAATTCATCAACTTTTGATGTTGACTTTGAGAGTTATTTATCATATAATTTACATGTGCATATAGCTGAATTTAGAGAATCTGATGTGTCGAAGGCAATATTAAAGTTAAAATCTAAATTTACTAAGGGACCAGATAATATAAAGTCGGCATATATGCAATAGTCGGGTAATACGAAATTCTTTATAATTTTAAACTGGGTGACTCCATCTCTAAGGTGATGAGGACATTAGAATGCTCGTTAAAATTATAGACTTCTGGCATGAAATAAAATTGCCGATAGACGCCACCAACGCCGAAAAATGTGTGGTTATGATTTTCACGTATTTAAAGTGTGTGCAAGGTGCCAGTTAAAATCGTTTTGTGACTACATTTTGCTTAAATAAAGTTGTTTAAACGCATGGTAAGTTTGTTTAGGCATTAGATGGTAGAAATCTTAACGATTTGATTTGATATTTTTCATAATAACAAATAGAGTACTTGTTTTGTTTACATTTTGTGTAGCGTGTTATATGGAATATTCCATATTACCCGCCCTATTGCTATCCCATATTACCCGCCGAGTATAAAGTACGGGATTTTTTTATTTTCATAGAAGAAAAAGCGAAAGCAATGGAATGGTCTGATAAAGATATGGAAAACGCCATTGAATCAGTAAGAAACAAAAATATGGGTTATTTGGCCGCAGCGAAAAAATTTAAAGTTGCACGCTCAATACTTTTTCGCCTCCGTAGCACTGAAGGGCCTCCAGCAACTGTTAGTAAAACGAAGTTGGGCAAAAAAATAATTTTGTCAGCGGAGTTAGAAGAGGAATTAGTTCGATATTTACTTATAATGGATCAAAAGTTTTTTGGTCTGACAAGAAGGGATGTCCGATCGTTAGCATTTCAGCTTGCTAAGCGTAACAATATACCACATTCATTCTCCCTTTTACGCGAATCTGCGGGAAAAGATTGGTTTTCGTCATTTATGAACAGGCATAAGGCTACACTAACTTGACGAAAACCCACTGGAACTTCCCTAGCAAGAGCCGTTGGTTTTAATAGGGAAAATGTCACTAAGTTTTTCGACTTATTAGAGAAGACTATGGCACAGTGAAATTATGGGCCTCACCAAATATATAACGTAGGTGAGTCGGGGTTGTCTATTGTGCAATAAATATGCCCAGAAGTGGTATTGCTTAGAGGCAAACGACAAGTTGGTGGTATTACATCAGCAGAGAGAGGCTCTGTTGTAACCATCGTAATGTGTATGAGTGCGGCAGGTGATTTTGTGTCACCCATGATCATCTTTCCGCGCAAAAAAGCAAGTGACCAGCTAAAAAAGGGGGCACCTCCAGGATCGCTGTTTGCTTTTCACCCATCCGAGTGGATTCAAACAGATTTATTTACAAAATGGTTTAATCACTTCCTAGAAAAAGCCAAACCTTCAGCAACAAAACCAACACTGCTGATATTGGACGGCCATCACACTCACACTAGAAATCTAGATTTACTAGTCAAAGCCAAAGACAATCATGTTACTATTTTATACTTACCACCACATATGACGCATAAACTTCAGCCCCTCGACAAGACCGTCATGGGTGCATTAAAGACCTTCTATAACGAAGAAGTGAGAATCTTCGTGAGAACGAAAAAACGTGCAGTAATACATTTGGATATTTGCCAGTTATTTGGTAGCGCCTATCTTAAAGTGCAATCTTGGGAAAGAGCTGTTAAAGGATTTAGTGCCACTGGGATCTATCCCTTAAGAAGAAATATTTTCACAGACGTAGAATTTGCGGCCGAAATGCAAAAATAAAATCAAAATTTGCCGAACGATAATACACGTCCTGATAAAGAGCAAAATAGCTCGCCTAATGTTTATCCTAGTGACATAGTTCCAGTGCCAGAACTAACAAAGAGGTCGGCAACTCGGGGAAGCAAATGTGGACGTTCCAAAATAATTACGTCGACGCCGAATAAGAAAGAATTGGAGCAATCAATTATTCTCTCAAGACAAAAAGTTACCCGAAACGTTTTCGATGAACCTGGACCTAGAGGGCCTTGAAGTTACAATTTTTAAATCGATTTTCCCATATAAATTTAAAACGGCATATGCTGAAATTTGGTATATTGGTAGAGTTTTATGTGGCAAAAAAATGGTATTAAAATTTTGTCCGATAATAATACATAGGCGTAGAACTTGATTTTTTAAATAATTACACCTTTAAAAATTCTACGCCAATGGCAGAAAAGGGGTTTGAGTATGAAATTTGGATTGGGTACTCATTTACTACAAAAAAGTACCCTTGATAACACTCGATTTACTCTCATGGTTTTGACAAAGTTTGTATTTTAATAGTTATTGTTTATGTTCTAAAATTAATAAAATGCAAATTTCGTCAAAACCATGAGAGTAATCGAGTCTTATCAAGAGTACTTTTTTTAAAGTAAATGAGTTGCGCAATCTAAATTTCATACTCAAACTCCTTTTCTTCCATTGGCTTAGAATTTTTAAGGGTGCAATTATTTAACAAATCAAGTTCTACGCCTATGTATTATTATCGGACAAAATTCTAATACCATTTTTTTTGCCACATAAAACTCTACCAATATACCAAATTTCAGCAAAATCGCATATGCCGTTTTAAATTTATATGGGAAAAACGATTTAAAAATTGTAACTTCAAGGCCCTCTGGAGCCCAAATGAAGCAACTTTGTACTAAGGTAATTTTACTTAAATCGACTTATTTTGGTCTAAGGAATATGTGGTATGTTTTTGTAAAGACCTTATATAGACACCCTGTATATTGATGTTCTGAAGTTAAATGATTTTAGTAGTTTTTTACGCATAATAAGTCTATTACATATTACCCGATATGACCATTCCATATTACCCTCCATTTTTTATTTTCGAACAAAAATGTATTTCTTTTAATTATTTTTGTAAAATTACCGAATATGATTTACTTTTTAATTTAGCACCTGTCGCTCCTTGAAGATAGAACTATTTATTAATTAAATATTGTAGCTCTTAAACACATGTTTTGATGTTATCACTATAAAAATAATTGGTATTCCATATATGCCGACTTTACTCTACCATCCTTCATGGTTCACGATTGTCCCCATGCGTTAGCTATTCCTTTAAATAAAATATTTAATTTATGACTGCGTACTGGTACATTTCCTAATGCAATAATCTGTCCTGTTTTTAAAAAAGGTAAAAAAAATTGTATTGCGAACTATCGACCCATCACTACTATATGTAATTTTGCCAAGGTTTTTGAAATTTTACTATAAAATAATATAATACCACACGTCAAACATCAGATGGTGGAAGAACAACATGGTTATTGTAAGAACAGGTCAACAATAACAAATCTTTTCTCATTTACACAATACAGTTCTACAATAATTGATGGCGGCGGTCAACTAGACGTAATATATGGGTGATTCTCGGATAACTGTGATTTTTTATGTCCAGTATTTTATTTATCGTTTAGCATAAGTTTTCCTCATCAAAAAGTTATTAATATTAAAAATTTAGAGGTATTTTACCACCGACATTATGAATTAGATCATAAACTGTAAGGTACTGTTTTTAAAGTATGTTTAGTTTCGATTATTTATATTACCATGATACTCTTTGAGTGATGTTGCCGCTATATTAACTTTGAATATTGCTATGTTAGCGAAATTAGGTATTGGAATGAATATAGTTAGTAAATCTTGGTAATTGAGAGAATTAGCATCTCGGCGTGGTTTTGTATGTTTAATTAATAAAACTCGTTGTTTTTGGACTTTAAACATGTGTTTTCTTGAATATTCTTACATATCAGAAGTTGGATATAGAATCCAGTGATCGCCCGTTGATAGTGGCAGTATTTAGAAGTGTTGTGTATTTTTGTGTCTAATAACTCGTGGAAACGAGTGATGATGAAAAAAAACCCATTGTGACTGTTTTTTTAAATGGAATTAAACTTAAATATTTAGTAGACACCAACAGTTCAGGTACAGTAAATCGGCAAAGTATTTTAGAGAAACTGCATTTTAAAATTGACGCTAGTAAATCATATGTTTTGGAAAGCTTTGTGGACAGTCGCATTGTTTCTCAGTATAATGTAAAATTAAATGTACGTTAAACGTTTTTGTGCTAGACGACAATAAAATGATACATGACTCTATAATCGGACGTGATTTTATTAAATTGCCAAATTTAATGCTGATAGAGGCACAGATGTTTATATTCGTAAACGGGAATGAATAACGAACTAGTGAACGATTTAAGTTGCTTTGAAATTAGAAACTTCGAAATAAATTGTAGATAAACAATAAACAAAAACTTGAGTTTGAAACACTGATGGGTGAATTTTAAGATTTAATTTCAAGGTCCATGGTTGAACTTGGAACAACTGACAGTGCACATATTGAAATTAAAGAAACCGACATCGATTAATGGGACACTCGTGTAAAGGAGTTATAATAAAGTGCTTTAAATACTTCATTTAATAAGAGCATTCGTAGCAGTTTTAGCGTTATTTGGTTATCAAAACAAAGTCGATAGCAGAAGCTTATTTGTTAAACTTGATTTAGTCATCAATCGATCGTATTAATATTTCCGAATTGAGAAGTAAAGTTAAAGAACACATTGATCACGACCAACGTAAACAGAAGTAACGTTATGATAAACAAATTCGTGAATCGGAGCGATTCGAAATTGGTAACTACTTGGTTTGAGTACGGACAGTATCGGTCCACAAAGGCGGTATCGGCCTTGAAATATGGCAGTAACGGCTATCGCATCGGACAGTATCGATCCACAAAGGCAGTATCGGCCTTGAAATATGGCAGTAACGGCCATCGCATCGGGCAGTGTCAGCCCACTAAGGCAGTATCGGCCTTGAAATATGACAGGAACGGCCATCGTATTGGACAGTAGCGGTCCACGAAGACAGTATCGGCCTTAAAATATGAAACAAACGGGCAGTGTCGGCCTCAAACTTTGGAACAAACAGGCAGTGTCGGTCCACCGAGGCAGTATCGGCCTCAAACTTTGGAACAAATGGCCAGTGTCGGACCACCGAGGCGGTATCGGCCGCAAACTTTGGAACAAACGGCCAGTGTCGGCCCACCGAGACAGTATCGGCCTCAAACTTTGCAACAAACGGGCAGTGTCGGCCCACCGAGGCAGTATCGGCCTCAAACTTTGGAACAAACGGGCAGTGTCGGCCCACCGAGGCAGTATCGGCCTCTAACTTTGGAACAAACGGGCAGTGTCGGCCCACCGAGGCAGTATCGGCCTCAAACTATGTAACAAACAGACAGTGTCGGCCTGATCTGTTACCCATCTGACGAGTTTGTCCTCTGCAACCAACTTGCAACTCCGTTGGCGCGAATCTTCAACTTCGTAATGCTTCGTACCGATCATTGTACATTGTTCAGCACTTTTGCTATCCCCGGTACCCACCTCACACATAATCAGTACTCAAACCAAGTAGTTACCAATTTCGAATCGCTCCGATTCACGAATTTGTTTATCATAACGTTATTTCTGTTTACGTTGGTTGTGATCAATGTGTTCTTTAACTTTACTTCTCAATTCGGAAATATTAATACGATCGATTGATGACTAAATCAAGTTTAACAAATAAGCTTCTGCTATCGACTTTGTTTTGATAACCAAATAACGCTAAAACCGATACGTTGGCCGTTACTGCCATATTTCAAGGCCGATGCCGCCTTAGTGGGCCGGTTCTGCCTTGCTGGGCCGATATTGCCTGATGTGATGGCCGTGAATGCCATTGATGATAAGGCTGAGACTGCCTTGGTAGGCCGATATTGCCTGATGTGATGGCCGTGAATGCCATTGATGATAAGGCCGTGATTGCCATTGATGATAAGGCCGTGACTGCCATTGATGATAAGGCCGAGACTGCCTTATGCTAATATGGATTATATGTTATTTTTTTTTGGCCGTTAACGCCATAGTTTAAGGCCGATAATGCCTTGGTAGGCCGATAATGCCTTGGTAGGCCGATACTGCCTGATGTGATGGCCGTGACTGCCATTGATGATAAAGCCGAGACTGCCTTATGCTAATATGATTACATATCTTCTTTCAGTAAAACAAGGACTCTTAAAAAAGAAACTTTTATATTTTGTGTTATCTAAGACCAAATTTGTTGTTATCATGTATCATGTTGATGTCTTTTTAGTTTAGTATGTTTTAGAGTTACATTACTTAGAATATTAGATTGTTTAGTTGAGATGAGGATATCTTAAATTCAGGAAGGCCGAATGTAAGGTACTGTTTTTAAAGTATGTTTGTTTTCGATTGTTTATATTACCATGATACGCTTTGAGTGATGTTGCCGCTATATTAACTTTGAATATTGCTATGTTAGCGAAATTAGGTATTGGAATGAATATAGTTAGTCAATCTTGGTAATGGAGAGAATTAGCATCTCGGCGTGGTTTTGTATGTTTAATTAATAAAACTCGTTGTTTTTGGACTTTAAACATGTGCTTTCTTGAATATTTTTACAAAACCTTCGCAAATTTTTTTTTAAGCTGCATATAAATATACTCGAAATATCAGTACCGTGGCATGTCCAATTCTCATTTTTGAAATTAAATATATAAATTTCTATCAAAATTCATTTTTTAATATAAAATGTACCTCTTATAACTACAATCTAATGCATATTGCATTGAATTTTATTGCAATTTTATACCAATATTTCGATTGATAAAAAAATAATCATTTATATGTCAGTACCGTGGAAATAATGTCAGTACCGTGGCATTAAAATTTTTAAATTTTCTCACAGTTTTCGTTGTGTTGTAGCTGTAGTAAAACCACTTTACATGCTTATTTCTGTACATAAATAGAAAACAAAAACATGTAAAACATACGATTTAAAATATTTTTAATTTGAAAAAAATTTAAAAATCGCAGTTACATGAGAATCACCCATATACAGATTTTTCCAAAGCTTCCGACAAACTCGATCATAAAACATTACATCAAAAGCTTAGCAAGTTTGGATTGTCCAAGCCTGTCCTACATTTTTTTCAATCTTACTTGACAAAAAGAACCCAGTTTGTTGAAGTGGGTGGATTTGAGTCTGTCGATATCTTAGTAACCTCTGGCGTACCTCAAGGCTCGATTCTGGGACCGCTTTTATTTATACTATTCGTAAATGACATCATTAATGACTTTAACGTAAACGTAATTTATGCAGACGATGTCAAAATTTTTTATCAGGTAGATATCTTAAATGATTGTCTTAAATTACAAAGCAATATTAATAAAATAAATAATTGGTGTTTAATAAATAATCTCAATCTCAATGCAAAAAAATGTAATATAGTGTCATATACCAAAAAAGATTTTCCAATTCTCTATAACTACTGTTTGTATGGTGTTATATTAAATAGGCCTGATTTTGCTATAGATCTTAGGGTAAAGTTCGATAGAAAACTTACTTTTAATGAACATCTAAATGACGGGGTAAAAGCATCATTCAGAAATTTGGGATTTATCATTAGGCATGCAGTTGATCTCAATTCTATCGAAACCATGAATATGTTGTACAGTGCGTTCGTCAAATCAAAATTAGAATATGCTTCATTAATATGAAAACCATTTTATGATATTCACATAAGCGCTCTTAAAAACGTTTAAAGACGATATCTAAAATTCTTGGCATTTAAGATAGACGGAACATATCCACCAATTGGGATAAATCACACATTGCTTTTAAATAAATTCCAAATGCAAAGCTTAGAATCACAGCTTAGTAATAAGCTGTGCTTAGAATGTAGACGAAAAAATCCGTCGTTAATATTCCCGTATAAACTTATTAACTACCAAATTGATTGTTCCAAGTTATTAGAACAACTTGTATTTAAAGTGCCAAGAATTGAATCTCGAAACAACTTAATGTTTTATCTCCCGCTATCTCGGACAAAGGACCCCGCAATAATCTCATGGAAATTGGGTTTCTGTCAAATTGTCTGAATTTTTGATATGTTGTAGATTTTGTCATCCTGAACAAAAGTCTCCATGGGCACAAAGTGCCAAAATAAATATTTTGGCAGCTACGGAGCTGCCAAAGCTCCCCTGACCCGTTGCAAAACTATTGATCTTCAATGCTATTTACAGATGTCAAAAGCATATTTTAATTATTCTAATATATAGGGTAATGTTTTTAAGGTTACTGGTTTCACCCATTATGTCAGATTGGACAAATTGACCGTTGACAGCTATCAATTCACTGTCAACGAGAAATATAAAAGTAAATATCCTCTTTTCACATTGAGAGTTTGGGTTTTTAAGGTCGCTCAATTCAATTCTCATCTCAGATTGGACAAATTGACAGTTGACAGCTGTAATTTCACTGTCAACGAAGAATAGAGAAGTAAATATTCTCTGTTGACATTGAGAGGGTAAGTTCTTGAGGTCACTGAATTCAATTCTCATACCAGATTGAAAAATTGACAGTTGACAGCTGTCAATTCACGGTCAAGGTAGAATAAAGAAAAAAATATTCTCTTTTCACATTGAGAGTTTGGGTTTTTAAATAAACGAAGCCTCTCAAGAATCCAATGACTAGCGACGATCGAAATACATCAAATATTTGGGCATAATTATATTCCTTTCAAACATAGGTATTCTCTTGGTGAAGATTATCATACCAAGTTGACAGCTCTAAACTTACGGTGTCGTCAATTTTATGACTTACTTGGATTCAATGATCTAAAAAGTATAGAAATGTTGCAAATAGCAAGATTTAAGTTAAGCATATTTTAATACCAACACTCATTGTAAATAGAGTTACAGTTGTAAACTATTATTTTCTCTGACTGTACATCAGCTTTGGATTTAGCAGGCTCAAAACAAATCATTCTAAGGTCAAAAATAATTTCTTTAATATTTATTCTACTTTGACAGTAAATTGACAGCTGTCAACTGTCAATTGTTCCAATCTGATATTAGAATTGAATTCAGCTTCCTCAAAAGTCCAAACTCCTAATGTCAACAGAGTATATTTACTTTTCTATTCTTCGTTGACAGTGAATTGACAGCTGCCAACTGCCAATTTTGCCAATCTGGCATGAGAATTAAATTCAGCGACCTCAAAAACCCAAACTCTTAATGTGAAAAGAGGATATTTACTTTTATATTCCTAGTTGACAGTCAATTGACAGCTGTCAACTGTCAATTTTGTCAATCTGGCATGAGAATTGAATTCAGCGACCTCAAGAACCCAAACTCTCAATGTCAACAGAGAATATTTACTTCTCTATTCTTCGTTGACAGTGAATCGACAGCTGTCAACGGTTAATTTGTCCAATCTGACATGAAGATTGAGTTCAGCGACCTTAAAAACCCAAACTCAATGTGAAAAGAGGATATTTACTTTTATATTCCTCGTTGACAGTGAATTGACAGCTGTCAACGGTCAATTTGTCCAATCTGACATGAGGGTTGAATCCAGTGACCTCAAGAACCCAAACTCTCAATGTCAACAGAGAATATTTACTTCTCTATTCTTCGTTGACAGTGAATTGACAGCTGTCAACGGTCAATTTGTCCAATCTGACATGAGAATTGAATTCAGCGACCTTAAAAACCCAAACTCTCCATGTGAAAAGAGGATATTTACTTTTATATTCCTCGTTGACAATGAATTGATAGCTGTCAACGGTCAATTTGTCCAATCTGACATGAGGGTTGAATCCAGTGACCTCAAAAACATTACCCTATATATAAGAATAATTGAAATATGTTTTTGACATCTGTAAATAGTATTGAAAATTCCACACCTGTAATTTTAAACCAATCAAAATACGTGTATTTGACAGAACACCATGGCAACGGAGGTATTTTAGTGGAAATTTTTTTCTCGTGGGGTACCCAACAGCGAATTATACTGGAAATTTTTTGACGTTTACAATAACAGACCATTTTTAACAGACTGGTTTTTATTTGTTCACATAATAGGTTTAGTTTTGATACATTTTAGTTACAATGCTAAGGTGTTTTCTATATTCTTCGGCCAATTCTTTTCTTCTTAATGGCGAAAATGCAGGACTTTGGATGCTTTGAATTATGTGTATATGTCTAATGAAATATATATAATATTTAGACAATAATTTATTCACCTTTTTCCCATTCAGCACTTTGAATTTTGCGTAGTTTAGGTGCAAATATTCGTGGACAATTCGGAACAAATTTTCGTTTTTCAAGTTGGAGCCACAATCCTCTATTAATCCGAGTAAGTAAGTCATGGTGCAATGATTGATCAT